AGTTAAAATAAGAATAATAAAAAAGTTGTGATTTAAATTACAATTCCATTTAATTTATCTATGATTTGTTTAAATGAAGGACGGTTTTGAGGAACTGGGTCCCAACATTGAGAAATTATTTCGTTTAAGAATTTGAATGAGTTACCAAGTGGGAGTCTCCAGCCATTTTTAACTTTTTCTCTGATGTCACTGAAATATTTAAAGTTTTTGTAAGGTGGTTGTTTATTTTTTAATTCCCATAGAATTATTGCATAAGAAAATACATCACTTTTTTGTGTAAAAGGTTCTCCACTAATTACTTCAGGTGCAAGCCAATAAGGGCATTCAACAATAGCATTAATATTAGCTGAGACAGGAACAGTTTGACCAAAATCACTTAATGCACAATTTTTAAATGAATTATCTTCATTTAATCTGATGAGAATATTTGGAGATTTAAGGTCTCTATGAATTAGTGGCATTTTATAAGAATGAATTTCATTCATTCCAAAAGCTATTTGTTTAGCTATATCTAACACTAATGTATTAGTAAATTCCATTGAAGTTTCGTTAATTAAATGATATAAACTTCCACCATTAAAAAATTCCATAGTAACAAATAATGGGTTAATACAATAACCAAAGATTTGAGCTATATAATCACTTTTAGGGAATGTAATAAAGAAAATTTCTCTTAAATATTCTTCAACTAAATTTGCGAATATATCAATTGATGTATTAGAATCATCTAATCCGTTATCACTTAAATCAATTTTACCAATCTTTGCAATAATTAACTCTTGTGTTTTTCTTTGTTTAAATAATGAAATAATTGAATTAGAACCAACACCAACATCTTTTACTAAATCATATTCATTTAATGATTTAAGATATTTTTTTGGTAATGTTTCAATAATCATATCAAGAGAACAACTTACAGTATTAATTGTATGAACACAAACTCTACTTTTAATATGAAATTTAAATTTTTCAATAGAATCATTAATTTCTCTTTCAGTTAGACAATTAATATTTCCATTCATTAAACATTCAGGACACATTATTTGTTGTTTTTCTATTTTACATTCATAACAATCTAATATATTCTCTAATAAAATTCTATTACTTTTTATTACTTTTGCAATATAAAATGGTATTCTTTCATTAGAAACTAGAAATCTTATTCTTATATTAACTGATCTTTTACTTTCATCTACAGAAATCATTAAATATCCTTTTCCACTTCCATCAGTATCTTCAATAACAACAATAGCACCATTTCTCCAATAACAATGAACTTCATATTTAATCATAAAACTACAAATAATAGTATTAATTATTTTATCATTATATTTACTTAAAATAAAACTTCTTCCTATTTCATTTTCATTTTTATGATGTTGTAATGGCCATGAACTATTTTCATAACCATGAACTAATTCATGATATGGGTATATCAATAGCCCATCAATATCTCTGAGTTCTGTTACTAAAAATGGTACAAATGAACTTCCATTAGATGAATTTTCTTTATTCATTAATTCACTAGAAATATATTTTGTTTGATCAACACAACTATGATAGGCTTTATTAAATTCATTACTAATACCAATATTAGCAAATGTTTTGGAAGTGCATTGAAGAATAATTCCATACATTTCTAATATTGAAATAACAAATTCTAAATGTTGATCTTTTATTCCTAATACCTCAAATACACTCGTTGTAATAAATCCATTTCTACTACTTCCTTTCTTCAATAATTTATCTGTTAAATTAAATAATTCACAATCAACGACAACCTCTTTTTCATCTTTTAATAACTCTTCAATACAACAATGGGTCAAGTCTTCGTTAGTAAGAAAATATCCATTTTTAATGAGAAATTCTAATACCATATCAATTTGACTTAATTCTAAACAGTGCATAATTTCTTTAATTTTTCCAATAGTTAAACAAAATCCTGGTATTGTTAATCCTTCTAATTCTTTAACTAATTTTCCACTTTCTTCTTCAATTGTTTCATTAATTTCATTGAATTTTATAATTTGTTTTAAAATTTTATTAACTAAAGTTGGACATTTTTTTGATTTCTTTTCTATAGTATAGAAATGTAAATCAAGTGTAAATATTTCTTTATTATATTTACTTAATACTTTAGCATTCATTTCAGTTCCAAAAACTACATGTCCAGTAATGGGTTTCTTTAAACTACTTAAAGTCTCAAATATTTCATCAATTTCATTTCCATTCTTTTCATTTTTGCAAATCACAAATACACATCTATGTAATTTCCAAATTCTTTCTTTCATTTGATTAACTGACATTGAGATAACAGAAATTCTATCAATTTTATTTTTATTTTTCTTTTGTTCTTTTGATTCAAAAATAAATGAATAATCATTAATTATTTGGACTATTCCTTCTTTACCCATTTTTCTTTGGAGATATGAAAAAACTTCTTTTCTAAATTCATCTCCAGTAATAATTATTTTTTCTAGTTGTTGGATTTGAGTTTCTTCTTCATAAATTCCATTAACATCTCTTCCTGTCCAAATAATATTTGGACTAAGAATTGATTTTCTATATTTTTTTGTTTTAACGTTATTACAAATAACTGTAAGTGATTTCATTGTTTTAAACAATGCATTTTTACCATTAGTATGATTTTGAGATAAATTAAGAATCCGTAGATTAGTCATCGTAAAGAATGAATAATTCATTTTACTTATTGAATTATCAGAAACATCAAGTTTTGTAATTGATAATTGAGTAATTTCTTCTGGAATAATAGGAAGATGACATCCACTTATAATAAGTTCTTGTAAATTGATTGGTGGTCTTGAGATAATATCTGAGATATTAAAGTGACACCTAGAACAATCTAATGAAGTTAAACATGGAAGATCTCTTAAAACACCTGGATAATTATTAAGCTCAGCTGCTTTTAAGAACTCAAGATCATTTCCAACTTCAAAATTAAATTCTTTAGGAAAACAATTTGATGAAATATCTAACTTTCTAAGAGGAATACTAGAAAGGTCTGGTAATTGAGTTAATTTATTATTAGCTAATCCCAAAAAAGTTAAATTTGATAATTCAGAAATAAGAGGTGTTATCCAAAATAATGAATTGTCATTAAGTCTAATCTCTTTTAGATGAGGTAATTGACATAACGCTAAAGGAAATTCTTTTAAACGATTATTGTTAAGATTAATAATTGAGATTGTTGAGAATATATTTAAGGAGAGTGGAATTGGTGGAAAATCAACTAAATTCATATTTGTATTTTTTGTTGTCATTGTTGTTGTTGTGTACAAACATACTGCTTCTTTATTAAAATTCATCCACTCATCAAAAAGAATACAACATGGACATTCAGGAATAACCAAATACATAGAAAGTTCATTTGGTTTATAAGAAAGATTAAAGAAATAAGATTTATTAGCTAATATATATCGAATAATAGAATTTCTAGAATCAATTGTTTTTTCATTAAATTCAGAGAATCTATTAGATAGATATGAACAAAATAAGAATTGTATTAAATGATCATCAAATTCAAATGCAAGTGAATTTTCATGAATAATAATATCTAATGAACAAAGTAATAAAATAAAATAAATAGAATTATCATATGAGTTTTTATCAAAAAAATTCACTGAAAGTAATTCTCTTTGGAATAGAAATAAAAATCCCTCTATTGTTCTATAATATGGGTCAATAACAATTTCAATTAATACAGTAAATAATGATATTATTCTTTCACTTATATTACATGGTTGCAATAATAAAATAGAATGACTTCTTTGCATTTCTTTAACAACATTCTTAACAACAATTAAAGTGTCTTTAATAAATCCAGAAAATTCATTATTAGCATCATTATATGTTGAAATATTTTTATTTAAATCAAAATTAATATTTGGTACAATGTCTTTGATTTTTCTAAAACATTTTTCAATAACACTTTTTGGTTTTATTCA